GGTGAACCATTTTCAATACTTGATGAGGTTAAGCCATTATATTCTTTGTTTTATTCCTGTTCAAAAACTCGAGGCTTTCCCCTTGATTGGGAGAGACGCAAAAGCAGAGGAAGAAGAATAGAAGATGGCCAAGATACCCAAGAACTCCAAGTTTGTGCTGTGCCTAGTGTTTTCCATGATCTTCAATCTTCTCTTTATCATCAATCTCTATGTGGGTGGAGGTTGGAATCTCAGTTGGAGCTCACGAGCTGCAGAAGAAGCTGAGGCTGTAGCAGCAATTTCCTGCTCAGGCCATGGAAGAGCTTACTTAGATGGATTAGTTCTTGATGATGAAAAACAACCACTTTGTGAATGTAATACTTGCTATTCAGGTCCTGACTGCTCTCAATTTATACCCAATTGTGCTGCAGATGCTGATGAGTACCTCTCTCTCCCTCTCTCATAGATTCACAGCATAGACTCTTTTTTTTCACCGAATCCGGTTTGAAAAACTGCATTCTCATACATAAATATGTATCAGCAACCATTTGCCACGGATTTTTTGATTCTTTTTCTTTTATTTCTTTGCTGAGGGAGTGGGTAACTAGACTATAGAATTGAAGTTGGTTCTGTTTTCTGAGGTAGCGTTTTGTGTATGATAAACATAAACCCCTATTCACTTTTAAAAAGTGGTAAAACAGGTTATCTCAGTAGACACCATTGTTTCTAAATTCAAATATCAGGACATTTTTCTTGCAGGGGAGATCCATTGTTCTTGGAGCCCTTCTGGATTCAGCATGCAGCTAACAGTGCAGTTCTAGTAGCAGGGTGGCACCGGATGAGCTACAGCTACAATGATAAAACTGTCATCTCCAAAGTGCTTGAGAAGCATATCCGAAAACTACACTCACTTGTAGGAAATGCAGTTACAGAAGACAGATTTATCATCTTTGGTACTGGCTCAACACAGGTCATCAGCGCTGCAGTCCACGCATTGTCCCCTGATAATGCCTCCTCCCCTGCAAGAGTTGTAGCTTCAATCCCTTACTACTCGGTCTGTCCTACAATTTCAGTTCTGTTTTCTTCACCATAGTTGTTACTTATTTTGATGTCAAAAATTGAAATGTGTTTTACAGCTATACAGAGAACAAACAGATTATTTTGAATCAATGCATTTCAAGTTTGAAGGAGACGCGTCCCCCTGGATAAACACTACAAATACTAGCAGCACCAATTTGATTGAGTTTGTGACATCTCCTAACAATCCAGATGGACAGCTGAACAAGGCAGTTCTTCATGGACCATATGTCAAGGCAATTCATGATCTTGCATATTACTGGCCACATTTTACTCCAATTCCAGCTCCTGCAGATGAAGATCTAATGACATTCACACTATCTAAGCTTACTGGTCATGCTGGCACTCGATTTGGGTAAAAAATGATTTCCAAGTTTAAACATTCTAGTAGTTCACCAACTCTGGTCATTCTTTGTCATGCATTGTGCAGGTGGGCAGTGATAAAGAAAAAGAGTGTATATGAGAGAATGACAATGCATATGGAGTTAAACACCATGGGAGTTTCTAGAGATAGTCAATTAAGAGCTTTGAAGCTTCTCAAAGTAATCCTAGAAGGAAAGGGAAGGGAAATATTTGAATTCGGCTACAAGACAATGAAAGCAAGGTGGGAAATATTGAACCAGACATTGTCATTATCGAATCGCTTCTCTTTGCAGAAAATTCCTCCACAATACTGCACCTTTTTCCAGGAATTCAGGGAGTCTTCTCCTGGTAATTATGTCCTCTTACCATTTGAATGTTCTTGTATGTATAAAGAGTGCATGAGTTGAATGCTCTAGTTTTGATTTGATGACTACAGCTTATGCATGGTTGAAGTGTGAGAGAGAAGAAGAAAAAGATTGTTACGCGGTGTTGAAGGCTGCAAATATCATTGGGCGTAGAGGCTACATGTTCAGTGCTGAGGATCGCTATGTCAGGCTCAGCATGATAAAAAGCAGAGATGATTTTGACGCATTGATAGAGCGTTTAAAGGAACTAGTCTCGGAGGAAGAAAGTGTAGTTAAGGGTACGTGAAGAAAGCTATCCACCTTATACTCTAAACCCTAAACTCGATCAAGAGGTGTTGATCAAGAACTCTAAATAAGGCTATAAACCCTAAACTCGATCAACAGATGTTGATCAAGAACTCTAAGTAAGGCAAATTAAGAGTGGGTTATGGAATCTTGAGGTGTCCATTTAAGAAAGAGGTCATGCATGCCCATTGAAATGCTCTGCTTTATCTTAAGGGAGGTTGGTGTATATTTAACATATTTTCTTCTAAACTTAATTGGTTAATAACATGATATTTTAAATTGGGGATTCAAATTTTAATTTTAGTTAAGTGAAAAGAAATTTGAAAAAAAAATAAAAGAATTTTCTTTTCTATACTTCTATTGTCTCTTGATAATTGTTGTTTTTAATTTTTTTTCATTGAATTAAGAATTTAGAGATTATTTACAAATTTTTCAATATTACTCTAAAAAAAATTAAAAATAAAGTAAAATTTTTTATAATAATATAATTAATCAAAATTCAAATAAAAAAATTTCAAAACAGAGGAAATATATTTTATCGTTAAATCTTAAAAAAAAAAAAAAAACCATTGGCTGGCGTTAATGTCCATGGAGCACCTTTAGGCGCAATCAATGAGAAGGTCATGTCCATGAAGCATTAACCCATCGTGGACCGCCTCATGATGTTCCAAGATGGAGCCTGGAGGGACCATGGCTGGCATTTTCACCAAAATATAGAGCTTTTTATAAATTTGATTTCGAGGTGGGGAGTGGCCTGGCTATTTAGCCAAAGTCACGGGAATTTTTGGCTTTAAGCCTTTCTTTTTATTGGAACAAAAATTTTCAACTTTCCACTTTCAGGAATCTTTTGCTTGGAATATAATAAGAACAAGATACCATCAATTTATGACATAACAACACATAATGAGTGATGCAACTAATCCAAAGCAAACAGGTATCTGTTGGACCCAGCAGCTTCAGTGCTGCTTTCTGATATCCTTTTGTTACTAGATAACTTCGACTCTTGTCTTGTTCTTCATACACACTGCGAGGATTGTGCATATAGGCTCAACAATCTAAAATCAATTATTTAGAAATAGGTGAAGTGATTTTTCTCGTATTTAATTCATAAACTTCTTATTTTTCACTTAAAACGCCTTCTCACATACAGATCAACTATGAATCCTGTCACGTGGGTTAACACGTCTCCTTAAATACAGCCTTGATACCTTTAACTTCAGGTTTTATCAAGTGGACTAACAACAAGCTTCCTAGGATAGAATCTGTACTCTAATACAGAATTGTGCATGTGACTTAACACAAGTCTTGCATCCAACTTAAAATCAATTTTTGTTTAGACCACCCAGTATCCGGAAGCATACTGGACCATCGACTAATCTGGATTCGAGTTAAGTAGGATCCAATAAGTAACAAAACTCTCCCTCATAAGTTTTAACGGAATTATATTCCTAGAATTTGAAACTAAAATCTCTAGTTAAGCTGAAAGAATCCCTTACCAACTCATTCACCCGTTTGTGGGTTCTGATATCCTTTTGTTACTAGATAACTTCGACTCTTGTCTTGTTCTTCATACACTCAAGAGAGGGAAACTCAGCAGCGGATTTCATGGCTTCTATTGGTTATGGCTCGCCTCTAGACACATCTTCCTTTTCAACGCCACTGAAGGGCATATGTTTAATTATGCAGGGAGGTAGTATAGGGACCATGTTCCTCACGACTTAAGTTGTTATTTTAACTTCTGATGTACTTAAAAAAAAAAAAAATGCTATCCATTTATTGGATTGGTATTCTTTCAAAGTCAATTTTATTTAGTTGGATCCACCGAAGAACTGTTGTGGCACCAATATTTCATTTGTAAATGGTTGTTTTTTTATATATTTTTTAAAATGATTTAAGAATAATTTTTTTGTATAACTTTATATGTCATTTAAGTAATTGGTTTTTTTATTAATTTAGAACCCATAATATTAAATACTTTTACTCATTTACCAATATGTAAAAGTTATATAAAAATGTAATACAAAAAGATTGTCTATATATTAACATTCATTTTTTTATGAGTGTGCCGTTTTATGATTTAAATTATATTAAATTATAAAATAAAGATTTTTAAAAGTGAGAAGATTTTCAATATCATGAGGTCTATCCCTCATCTAATAGTTTATATAATATAATTCGAAATGTATAATTCAAACTACCAAACAATTTTCTTTTTTAATATATTTTTGCATAACACAATCTTATTATTATATTATAAAAATTATTAAAATCATCAATAAACAACTAATGAGCCTTTAAAAATCCTTAATAAATCCCTTTAAAATCCTCAATAAATCCCTTAGAAGCAGGGATGATTTTGATGTATTGATAGAGCCTTTAATGGAACTAATCTTGGAGGAAGAGAGTGCTAAAAGCAAGTGAAGGATGTGAACAACCGTATATCCTAAACCCTAAATCTGATAAACAAACGTTGATCAAAAGCTCCAAACAAGGTGAATTAAGAATAAGTTGTGGAACCTTGCAGTGTCTTTCTAGAAAAGCCAAAGAGGTCATGCCTATTGACCTGCTGCTCGGCTTTCTTAGAAGAGGTTCTTTTATGTTAACATGCCCTCTTTATACTTTCGAGGGGTTAATGTCTATTGACCCCCTTTTACCTGTAGACGCAATAACCTCAATGAGAGGGTCATGTCTATTGACCCACTTGAAGAAGCAAATTAGTTGATTTTTATTACCTCTCAAAATATTTTTATAGTCATGCTTAAACTGTTGGGCTTAATTTGCTCAAACATTGTACATTTCATGGTCTATGAGTCTCCCATTCATCGTAAGTGAACTTCAAAATAAACAAAACAAGCATAATAAGTAGAGGATATATGGACGGAACTAAAATGTATTTCATTTCCCATAAGAGTCACCTCTAATGTATTAGTTACAGTGGGAAAGTCATACCAAAACTGACCTTTTTGGTGATTGTCGGTGTTTTTGAAGATTTTGTTTCATTCTCCGTCTTAGCAAGAAGCATAAGAATGCTATGAAAATAAACAACAAGAAGTAAACTTCCAAGTGAACCCCCCAAATTTGCTCTGCCAAACTGAGCCTCTTGCTTATACAGTCACAGTCACAGACACTACGGAGTAAATTCACTCCAGAAGTGAATTCTGGATCAAGAATAAAGTCTAATGTTGTGGCTTCTTCTCCCAACCAGATGCTTGTGGCCTTTGATTTGTATCCAGGTGCAGTGACCTTCACTGCAAGCATAAGAATATCCATAAAATTCACATCAGGCAGGTCCTAAACCCCAAACTGCTTGAAAGGGAAAAAGAGAATTGTTTGAAGATTGGTTTGATTTTTAACTTGCTGCCCAAACATTTTTAAGGTGTTAACCTTAGCTGCTTATTTCTACTTGCCAGATTGTCCTATCTTGCTGGCCACATATGTTGGTTCCCATCATATCAAATTGATTATATTGGGCTATCTTACCATTCCAATCATTCTTACATCAAGAGTTTCCATGCATTATTTGAATTAAAAAGATTTCCTAAAAGTAACTTTAAATAATGCTAGAAATCAATTCCTGATACCTTCATATCTCTGTCCCGGGGCAAGCAGACGATGGTAATCAGCAAATCCTCTGCCAGCTTTCACCTGTCAATCGAAAAAGAGAGATAATAAGATGGTTTCAATAGAAGGCAACCAGTTTAATGATGAGGGTGATTACTACAAATAAAGCAAGAAAGTGGAATCTATCTTCTTTAATGCTAGTGCTCTCAGGTTGCAAAGCTATTAATAAAATTTAGAACCCAAATACATTGCCTTTTAAGAGAAGGGAGGAGTGTAAATGATCCCACGTCCCACAAATGTAATTTGGGAACAAGAAAATCCTATGTCTATTCATGATAGCAACATACCGTAAAATTTACTCCTTTAACCGTGATAGAGCCAGGTATTGGCCTTCCACTGTCTGATGAAAAGATCCTCCCATGAACTCCAGTCTGAAAATTTAAGGGCAATCCAGATAAATGATTCCAGATGCAGCAGAAAAAAAAAAAAAA